ACAGAGATGGTTTATCTGTAAAAACGCACTGAGTTGACACTAAGTGGCAGGGTCTCGGGTAGAAGATTCAGAACCTAGAAATACTGTGTCCAAAATGTAAAAGGCAACACACAGATGAACTGTAGAGGGGTTGTTGAATTGGCGTCATATACCTGAGCCCTAATGGGAGGACACTTACAACATTAACGACCCAGAGAGGAAGAGAATATTAGTGGCAACATGAGAATCCTGCATCCTGCCCTTTTCCTTCCTTGAACACCGGAGGGGAATGTGCTACCTGGCTGTAATATCTCAGACCTCCATTGAGCCTATACGTACCGCTGAATGACCTTGTGTGACAGCAAAGAAATCTTCTCCCTGGATTTTGGAACATCATTTTGGGCTGAAGCAACAGAAATTGAGATGGTAAAAATTTAAAAAGCCTGGATGACAATGTCTGAATATAATGTAGGCCTGCCTACCCTTTAGCTGTGGCACCAGATCATGTAGAATCATCAGGTGTTGTAGATTTCCTGATGGCAGACCACATTTGTTACATGATGCAGTGGCTGAGGCTGTAGCAAATGCATTCGTGAGCTTGCCATAAGGTAATTGGATTCAGCCAACAACCACAGACATCCACCTGATCTTCAGTTTCCTCTGGCTGTGCCAGCAGGTGCTATGAGAGGAGGATTAAATCCTGTCTGCTAACACTGTTTTATTTTCCATAGATGCTGCCTGACCTAAGTGTTTCCAATATTTTCTGTTTTGCTCTGGGCTCCATCATAACATGTTACTTTTGTACTAGCCCCATCAGCTTCACTGTATTTGTGATGATTTACAATTAATGATGTGGCTTGCTAAACCTATTTTAGCTGGCTCTTGCTAATGTATAATTGAGGTGTTATCTGAACAGTTCAGGAACCTTGCTAGTTCAGAGTAAGTTCTGTTTGAAAAGCTACTCATAAAAGATTCCATTTTCTTGCAACATAGTGGCACTTTTTCAGGATGAAATTTTTCTTTTAGTTTTTTTCAATGAGTTCTCCATCCAAGATTAATAATTTCTGCTGTCGTAATTCTTCATGGACCATGAGCTGACATTGTTACTTTCTTTGTTCTTTATTCTCAGAGTTTGTATGAGCTTTTTTTGTACCAGTACTTTTGGTCTCAGGACCTGTTAGTAGTATTGGATCAGAGCTTTTTAAATTTTATTTCCATTTTGATTATGAGAGAGTTGCATAAAATCACTTGAATCAGTTTGTCCAATTTGTTACTGGCTTGTTGTTCTGGGGGTATGATTCTAGCTTAGGCACACGTACCTCACTGATATGCTAACATCTGAGGCTAGTGCCAAAATTGGGAGAGCAGTCTCACAGACTAGTCAAGCAACAGCCTGACATATTCATATTTATGGAATCATACTTCAAAGAGAATATCCCAAACACCACCATCACCATCCCTGGATATGTCCTGTCCCACCAGCAGACTGACCCAGCAAAGGTAGTGGCACAGTGGTAAACAGTTGGGAGGGAGTTGTCCTAGGAATCCTCAACATTGACTGTGGGCCCTATGAAGTCTCATGGCTTCAGGTTAAACATGGGCAAGGAACCCTCCTGCTGATTACCAATGGGACCTGGGTGTCCTTGTGCACCAGTCACTGAAGATAAGCATGTAGGTGCAGCAGGCAGTAAAGAAGGCAAATGGTATGTTGGCCTTCATTGCAAGAGGTTTTGAGTACAGGAGCAGGGATGTGTTGTTGCAGTTATACAGGGCCTTGGTGAGGCCACACCTGGAATATTGTGAGCAGTTTTGGTCTCCTTTTCTGAGGAAGGATGCTCTTGCACTTGAGGGAGTGCAACAAAGGTTTACGAAGCTGTTTCCGGGGATGGCAGGACTGACTTATGAGGAGAGATTGACTAGGTTAGGATTGTTTTTGTTGGAGTTCAGATGAATGAGGTGGGATCTCACAGAGACTTATAAAACTCTAACAGGACTAGACGGGGTAGGTGCAGGGAGAATGTTCCCAATGGTGGGTGTGTCCAGAACCAGAGGGTCACAGTCTGAGGATTCGGAGTAGACCATTTAGGACGGAGGTGAGGAGACATATCTTCACCCAGAATGGTGAGCCTTACCACAGGAAGTAGTTGATACCAAACTTTGAATGTATTCAAGAGGTGGCTAGATTTAGCACCTGGGGCAAATAGGTTCAAAGTTATGAGGAGAAAGCAGGATTAGGCTATTGAGTTGGATGATCACCTATGAATGGCAGATCAGGCTCGAAGGGCTGAATGGCCTTCTCCTGCTCCTATCTTCTATGTTCCGACGTATCTTCCTCCCTCAGCCGATGACTCATTACACCTTCATGTTGAACAACACTGGGAGGAAGCAGTGAGAGTGGCAAGGGTGCAAAAAGTGCTCTAGGCGGGAGATTTTAATGTCGAAGAGTGGCTGGCAGCAGCATTACTGATCGAGCTGCTAGACTGGGACTGCAATAGGTGGTGCTTGCCAACAAATGGGAAAAACATACTTGACCTAATCCTTACCCAGCTGCAGATGCATCTGTCCATGACATTGTAGACTGACCACTGCACAATCTTTTTGGAGTCCTGTTGTGAAGTCCTGCCTTCACATTGAGAATGCTGTCCATCATGTTGTGTGGCACTATCACTGTGCTAAATGGGGCAGACTTCAAACAGGTCTAGCAATTCAAGACTGTGTATCCATGAGGCTCTGTGGGTTATCAACAGCAGCAGAATTGTACTCCAACACAATCTGCAACCTCATGCCTAGCATATCCCCCAGGGAACCTTTATCATCAAGCCAGGGAATCAACCCTGTGTGAATGGAGAATGGAGGAGGACATGGCAGGAACAGCACCAAGCATAGCTATAAATAACGTGTCAACCTGGTGAAGCTACTAAATAGGACTACTTCATTGCAAACAGTATAAGCAACAAGTAATACACAGAGCTAAGCAACCCCACTACCAAAGATTAGATCTAAGCTCTGCAGTTCTGCCATATCCAGACAATTGGTGGTGGAGAACAATGAAGCAACTCACTGGAGGGGCAGGTTCCACAAATATCCCGATCCTCAATGATAGAAGAGCCCAGCCCCTAAGCGCAAAAGATAAGGCTGAAGCATTCGCAGCAATCTTCAGCCAGAAGTGTCGAATGGATAATTCATCTCAACCTCCTCCAGTGGTCCCCAGCATCATAAATACTAGCCTTCGGCCAATTCATTTCACTCCATGCGATATCAAGAAATAGTTGGAGATACTGGATGCTGCAAAAGCTGTGGGCCATGACAACATTCCAGCAATAGTACCAAAGACTTCTGCTCCATATCTTGCCACCCCCTTCGCAAAGCTCTTCCAGTACAGCTACAACATTAGCATCTATTCAGCAATGTGGAAAATTACTCACGTGTGTCCTGTACACAAAAACAGGACAAATCCAACCCGGCTAATTACTGTCCCATCAGTCTACTCTTGATTATCAGTAAAGTGATGGAAAGTGTCATTGATTGTACTATGAAGCAGCACCTGCTCAGCAATAACCTGCCCAGTGATGCCCAGTTTGGGTTCTGCCAGCGCCACTCAGCTCCTGACCTCATTACAGACTTTGTTCAAACATGGACAAAGATGCCGAATTCTAGAGATGAGGTGAGAGTGACAGCTCTTGGATTAAGGCTACATTCAACTAAGTATGGCAACAAGTAACCCCAGCAAAACCGGAATCAGGGGCAAGCTATCCGCTGGTTGGAGAACACTTCCTGCAGGTGCAAATTATAGTCTTTTAGTCTGTCCACTAATGTTAAAGCAAATGAGTTGACTGTCTACTCTGTCCATAATTTTATACATGTTAATCATACCACCCCTCCCTCTGGTCCAAGAAAAACACCCCCGTTCTATCCAATCTCTGTTCGTAACTAAAACGCTCCAGTCCAGGCAACACCCTGGCAAATCTCCTCTGCATCCTTTTGCAGTGCAATCACATCCCTCCTATAAAGTGGATTCCAGAACCACACAAAATACTCTAGCTGTCGCCTAAACAGCATTAAATTAGATGTAGGAACCAGGTGTCATTTTTCTAAATTTGGTGATGACTCTGCAGCAATGCAATTTGTGAGGAGGATGCAAAGAGGCTTCAAGGGAACTTGTACCAACTTAGTGAATAGGTTAGGATGTGGCAGATGGAACTTAATATGAATAATTGTGAAGTCGCTCACTTTGATGGGAAAACAAGAAAGGAAGAATATTTCTTAGTGAGTGATTGGTAAATGTGGAAAACTAAAGGAACCTAGGTGTGCTTGCTCCTGAGTAACTAAAAATTAGCATACAGGTGCAACAAGCAGTTAGAAAGGCAAAGGATATGTTGGCCTTCATCACAAGAGGATTTGGTACAGCAGTAGAGATGTCTTCCTGCAGTTGTATCGACCTCTCCTGGGGGTGGTTCCCATATCTAAAGAGGGATAGTTAATTAATTAGCTTGTTTGGACATGTTATGACACATGTCCAGTGCAGGTAGGACTTGAACAAAGACATTCTGGCCCAGAAATAGGATCACTAGCACTGCGCATGAACATTCTCTGAAGAGAGATGAACTTATCATAGAGGAAGTGCAAGTGTGGTTCACCAGATTAAACTCTGAGGTGGCAGGAATTCTGGTTCAACCAGATTAAACTATGAGATGGCAAGAATTACTTATAAGAAGATATTGAGAGTCGAGGTTTGTGTTCTCTACAGTTTTGAACAACGAAAGGTAAACTCAGTTAAACTTACAAAATTCTTAAAGGCCATAATAGGATGGGTGTAATTAAGATACTTTTCTTGGCTGGTGAATTGCAATTAACTCTTAATGGCTTGACAACCCTAACTAATTTCATTGCTATGTAGTCAACAAAACTTCTTTGCTGCAGGTTTCTGACCTTCACTGGTTCTATCAAGGGATGATGAATTGGAGTGTTTTGTTTTGTTAGTCATTACTGAATCCAAGATATTTCCTCATTAAAGATTTCTTACTTTTGTTTCTTTGCAGATAATGGATTTATACCTGACACAATGCTTGAGGATGTTATGAAAGCATTGGATTTAGTGTCAGACCCTGAATAGTAAGTATTCCCAACAGTACTGTGATATAAACCTCAAAATAAAAGAAACTTTTAATATTATAGTTCTTAAAATAATAAATCAGTAATACTGTAATATCTGTACTTGATTTTTGCTGAACAAAAGAGTTTTGCTGTTGAAGCTTTTCATTTTTTAGTCATCGCGACAGATGCAAAAATGCCACATTTCAAAGAGGGCAACAATTCTGCAAGATAGAAGGATGCTGAGCAGTTAGCAGTTGACTCTGACTCTGGTGAACGTGTTGTTATGACAAATGCACAAAGGAAGTAGTGTCTTCGCACTTTCATTTAATTCAAAAATGGCTTGCAGTGTGCTCACCATTTGCTAAAAGTTATATATATTCACAAGGAGGAATCTGTCCTCTGCAAGTAAACAGTACATCCATACATTACAATTATTTTTTGAATTACACACAAGGGTGGGTGACCAAACAAGACATGATCTGCAGCAGTTCAAGAAAGCAGCTAATTACTACACCACCTTAAGGACAACTAAATTGTAAATGCAATTAGTTGTGGCCCAGCCAATGTCACAAACATCCCATGAATGAATTTTTGAAAAGTTACCAGATGCATGCTCCCTGGTAATACCTCAGCCCATCAGACTTAACTTGCAAACCAATTAGCAACTTCTTGTCGTGTGGTATAAATTATTCACCCGTTTAAAATTTAGCACTTTTTGCATCCCTCCCGATGAGTGCAAAATGAAAGGCTTTGACAGTATATCTTCATTGCAGCAAAAAAAAAGAAATTTGCATAGTATATGTAAGCCTATGTTTGAGCAATCTTTTTCTCCCTATCTTGTTAAGAATTCTTTATTGTTTGTTTTTATTGTAACAGGCTACCACTGCCCATGTGGCTACTGTATCTTTAATATCCTGTCTTAGCCTATAGACAAGTCTGTTAACTGATGCCTTTTAAACCCAGTCTACAAATCCAAACGTGCAAAATCCACTGTGTTACCTTCATCTGTATGATTTGTGACATACTCAAATCGCTATTAAGTCAGTCAAGCATGATCTGCACTCTGCGAATCCATGTACAATCCCTGGTTCATCTATTCAATTCTGAATCATGTTGTTGTAGATGTTTATCCACAATGAAGGCAAAACTAATTGGCCAGTTAATTCTCGGCTCAGTTTTTTCTCTTTTTAACTGCAAAGTTTGTCCAGGAAATGGACAAAGGGAGAAAAACATGGACAGTTCTCTTTTAAGTGTTGAATGCTTTTGTGTTCCTTGAGTTCTGAGAGAGGGGAATCAACACTGTTCCACTCTCATTCCATTTATGTTTTGGCTGCACTGTAAGCAGAGTCCTACATTTGTCTTGGTGTTTTTTGTAATGGTATTGGGTGATTAAATAGCCCTTCAATTTTTGTGTGAAATGCCGCCAAAACATAGGAGATATTTTTATTACTTCTGTTTTTTTCCCTTGATAGCATTGACTTCTTGCACATCTTTTTCTGCTCTGCTTTTCTGAGCATTGTGTATGTTTTGGACTTTTTTTGTATTACTCAAGCTGAATTTTTTTGTTTGAAAAGCATTTGAGAGGATACACAAAATCAATGAGAGTACAAACACATGTAATCAGGGACAGTGAGATGAAAATAAATTTAAAACTCCAGCATACATGCCAACCTTAAGCTTTTCATTCTTCACTAGCCTTTCAGCATTCCATGAGAAAATCCTTTTTCTCTGGAATTGGAAATATGGAAAGCAGGATTATTGTCTGTCAAAAGCAGATAGGGGTGGAATCAATCAGCTTTTGTTTTTACACATTGCTTGTTCTTCAGACACTTCATACAACATGTTTTTGATGCAGCAGTGGTTTTTTCAGTCACAAAGTATATTCCTTAAATGTTCCTCTCCAAGACATTTTTGTATACTCCTCATTTGAAATTGCTTAATTCAGTTTATCTAGTCATCAGAGTTGAAATTGTGCTGTTCTATTAACATTGTTTAATTCCAGCTAAAGGATAGTTTATTTTTCCATCATAGCGAAATGATTTAGAATTATCAGGAAGAGAAACCCAACATGTTGAGACTGTTACTGTTCCAAAAATGAACTTTCTGGATTATGTCTGGTTTTTAATTTAAATGAACGTTTATGTGCTTCAAGTTGGGTTAAAGTTGTTCTCTTTTAAGATGAGGATAGACCGCAGATACCGCACAGAGGGGGGCCATTCAGGCCTCCTTGTCCATGCTGACTCAAAGACACCAGATGCCCTTTCCAATCCCATCTCCCTGCATGCAGCTTATAGCCGGCAACTTACAGCACTTAAGGTGCAGATGCAGGTACTTTTAAAGAGTTGAGGGTCTCTGCTTTCACCATCAATTTAGGCAGCAAATTCCATAAAAATGGTTTGTCCTCATGACTCCTCAAATCCTTGTGCCAGTTAGCTTGAATCTTTGAATCCTGGTTTTTGAATTCTCTGCCGAGGGAAACATGTTCTTTCTGGCTACTCAATCTCTACCCCTCTCAATTTTGCATACCTCAAATATGTCACCCTTCAGCTTCTCTGTTCCAAGTAAAACAGCCCCTACCTCTCCAATATCTCCTCATAGCTACAATTCTGCAACCCTGGCAACATTCTAGTAAATCTCTGCACACTCTCCAGAGCAATTACATCTTTCCTATAATGTGGTGACTAGAACTGCACACAGTACTCCAGTACTGGTATAAAATATAAGGAGCAGTAAGAAATCTCTGACCTTTAGAAAAATGTTTAGATTACATATTTTCTGGTCCTTTATGATCCTAAGTCACAAAAAGTATTGGGACATATCTGAGTAGTGGGCTGTTTAAGTATGTTTGTTGCAATGTTCTGGGCAACAACGGTCTGTTAGAGCTTTCTTCATTGTCAAGGTGGAAAGTAATGCTTGAAATTGACCTCAGGTCTTCTTTGCTTTCCCTCTGCTTCTTCCATTAGTTAGAATTATTGTCGATTGGGGAGATTGCGCATAAAGCTTCATCACTGACCTGAATTGATGATCATTGTCTTGTGTTGCCCTTGTGTTCCCATATTTGTTTGCTCCTTTTGAAGAGAATGTATTGTTTGGAAAAGCTCCCATGTGCTCAAACTTTGAAGAATTCCACAATTTTCACATAACTTAATCAAAATATCCTGAAGCAAAACGAAATGTTCTTCTAAGTTAGTACAAGTAATTGTGGATAAGCATCACCTCAGTGGGACATGTTGTTCCTGTTTCTAGCCCTTTAAGTATCAACATTAGGATTCTTTTGGAAGGAAAACACATTGAACGCATCTTTGGATTAATCAGAGGATTTTTTTTCTCCTCCACATAATGTAGTACAATTTTTAAATGCTGACACATGGAATCTCTGGATTCCACTTTGTCTTTGCTTTCATAAGAAGTTAAACATAAATGACCCGATGTAAGTTTTTCTCCCAAAAAAGGCCATGCAAAGCAAATAGTTTTGAATAGTACCAGATTGTGCTGGCAAAAAAGCCAGCTGCAGTTTAATTTTGGCATCACTGCAGTGGAGAGAGGGATGAGGAGAAGAGGCGAAGATTTGTATAGTATAAACACAAGTTGTACTTGGGGCCAAGTGACCTTCGTGATACTTCAGCTCTGTAACAGATGAAGCTAAAAGTGTTTGTTTATTTAAAAATAACTATTATTGTTGATGCTGGGGCATCAAATGACATTTAGATTTTTCTTAACCTAGTTTATTAACACTTCATTTATACCAAACTCTGTAGTGGTGGCTTATTTGGAGTAAATTAATTTTAAACCTTGCACTGCTATCAAAGGTTAACGTGGCACTACCCCAAATAGTTACTCTTTACTTGAGATTGCTGATTTCAATTTTTCCTCCCACGATAAAATTAAGATCAGTTTGAAAGGCCTCCTGCAAAACATTCTCTTCTCTGCTCATCTTACTTTCTTTCTCCATGTCGTGACCCTTGCAGTCCATTTTATCATCACTTCCTTTCAAAACATGGGAAATGTCCAGTGTTAGTGGAAGCATAAAGCAAGCACTACCGGTATTTCTCCCATAACACGATAGTTGCATTCTTGTGTGACCTCGCGCTATAGAAAATCGCAGTATAGAGAAATCACACGATAGAAAATCTCTGTACTTGTACAGCAGAAAGTTCATATTATCCAAGCAACGTCCACTATTCATCAATCATGTTACAGCCAATTCGCGTTAACGAAACATGCATTATTGCAGAAATACCTGTATCAGATCTGCTCTTCCTTGCCAGCGACATTCATATACCATGAAAGAATAAAAAATAATCCACATTTCCAACAAATTGCTTTAAGTTTCTTCCAAAATTGAAAGCATCACCATTTGTCTATTACTACACATTTTTGTACCATAGTTTCTGTCCCCTAATTTCCCTTTTAACCTTCTTTCACCCCTATTCCCATCACTACTTTTTCCGAAAACTGTGTTTCATCCTAAAACTTTAAAAAATATCTTGCACAGCCATTCAAAGCTGGCATTACATAAAATGCAAACAAAAAAAAGTTTATTTTGGTACTGCATGCAGCTCACTCCATCTGTAGTTACAGCTTGAAGGCATTGGCACTATTCTTTGTTCAGTTCAACTTCTGAATCACCCTCGGCAGAAAGACCATTCTGATCAAAGTTCTCTTTCATCACTACAGTTGTTACCAAGCCAAAATGTGTCTCCTTCTCTTCCTTGGCCTTTCTATTTAATTTAGTTTTGTTGACTCAGTCTTCTACCACAGACTCTGAGATCAGCTCCCTTCATTTGATTCCATTCCTAGATCCTGAACATAGCCAGTACATCATCTACCATGACTTTGTCACTTTTCTCCACACATTCACTTTGGAAGTGCTCAAAGCTTCCATCCTTCAGCATTTTCTTTCTTTCTCTGTACTGCTCTTAACCACAGTTTTTTCAGTTAACACTTTCATACTAGTAGTTACTTGCTGTACCTCTTCACCAAATTATTACTTTCAATATTACCGACATCTATGCTGTCTGACTGATGGTGGTGGTGACCAGAATTTTTGCAGTTTAATTCTGAAAGGTGTATGCCTGTTCTCAAAATCTCAGCACTTTTAACTCCATAACTGCAGATTCAAGCTCTGCAGAATCATACATAATCTCAATTTTTTGTTTGATCCAAGCTTGTCTCAAAACTTTATCATATCCCCATCACCAAGACGCCCTTTTCCATGTTAGCAATATTGCCTCTTTTTGCCTGTACGTTATCCAATCACTGCTCAAAAAACCCTTAACCAAGCCTTCATCACCACCACACCTGACTTCCACTTACATTCTGAGCTCCATCAGTCTTAAACTCGCAATTTATCCCCAACTCTTATCAACCACCTCTTTTAGTGCACCAACTCCACTCGACTATCATCCCTATACTCACCGCGTACCCAATGAAATCGGTGTCCTAAAATAAAATCAAAATCTGCGGATGCTGAGCATCTGAAATTGAAACAAATTGCTGGAGAAACTCAGCAGACCTCGCAGCATCTTTGGAAGAATTAAGGAAGGGTCGCTGGTCTCAAAACCTTAACTCTAAATTCTGTCCTCAGATGCTGCCAGACCTGCTCAGTTTCTCCAGCAATTTGAATTCAAAGTTCTCTTCATTTACAAATTCCTGTAGGAGCTTGTTTCAACAGTATATCCTGGGATTCTCTCCTCCACTGCTCTGAATTTCACTTAATCACCAATATTTAGCAGAGCCTTCAGCCTTCATGGTCTTGCACATTTAAGCTATCCATAAACTTTTTTATCTTTCAACATTTCTCGCCACATTTGAACATTTCCCAAAAAACTTCAACCGGATATCATGTAACTCTTCACAAATCATTTAACTATTTCTGTTCAGCATTCGGTTCAGTCCTGTGAAATAACATGTTATGTATTCATTCACTGACTTTAATGCAGTATGTGTTGTTATTGGCACCGTAAAGATCTGCAAAAGCACATTTATTATTGTAATAAAGTGTGTGACATGTACAGCATCACCGTTTATGTTCTCTAAACAGCCATGTGCCATTATATATTTTGTATAATTTGGAACCACAAACTCTGTTTATGATGTGCATACATTGTTAGATATGGCTGTTTCAGTGTAATGTTTTATCTTTCAGTGTAAATATTATGAAGAGCAAATTAGACCCTGAAGGATTAGGAATCATCTTACTGGGAACATTTCTACAAGAATTTTTTCCTGAGCAGGTAAAGCTTTTTATTTAGTATCCTAACAAACTGGTCATCCAAATTGTTACAAAAGAAAATATTGGTACTTTAGTGTGTTTTATCACAGAGTTCTACCTCGTGGTTGTGCCGCCAAGCTAAAACTGAAAGGAAGTCAAAGTCTTTGCTTGGGAGAGAAAGAGAACACATCAGACATAACTGAAATAAAGATTTTAGAAAGCAGTCATCACTCTTTATGTGGTTAAAGATGTTGGGTAATTCTATGAATTTTCTCTCTCACTGTTATTCATTATGGGATGAGAATTGTGTGGAATACAAATTTATAATATGCCCCACTTATACAGAATTATGTTGCAAAGATTGTTCTTGGGGAGTAATATAATGGAATATTCTAATAATGTTGTAGTCCACTCAACCTCCAACTCCACTTAATATGCTGCCTGTTTGTTGAGTCAGTTGCCAGAGTGTTTTTCCGTAATCCCCCCTTCCACATAAGCACCTGAATTCATATTTACAGCAAACCCTTTAATTTTGCCTTTGGTGTCCCCTAAATCTAATCATGGCCTGTCCTACTGATCACCTGCATGCTGTACCTCAGTGACATCTTCCAAAAGACAGCTGTCACGTATGTGCTGGTGATAACCTGCTCCACCTTTCTAGCGCCTCTCTCAACACTTCTGCTGGCTCTATCTGCTTGCCCAGCATCCAGTACTGAATATGCAGAGGTTTCTGCCAATTAAACGTTGAGAAAAATGAAGCCATTAGTTCTTGCCGTGATGCCGTTCCTTAGAAGCTGCCACCATCCGTTTTCCTCGCAAGTGTCAGAGACTGACCCTGACAAATTGCGGCCTTGACGTAGTTGACTTTGAAATGAACTTTTGACCACACATCCTCGCCATTTTGGAGGCACCTACCTCAACTTCAGTGATATCAGTCAACTTTGCCTTCACCTCCATTCAGCTGCTGCTGAAGCCCTCATCTGTATCTTTGTTAGCTAACTTGTTCCACCCACTTGAGATCATCCAAAATTCCACTGCCAATGTCCTAACCTGTACCATGATCCATTCCTGTCCTCGCTGAACTTTATTTCCTCAATTAATAAATGCCTCAATTTTAAAATTCTGATTCTTGTTCTCAAATCTATCCATGACCTAATTTCTCTCTCAAACTCTTGTAATTTCTTCCTCCTTAGATATTCAGGCTTTTCCAAATCTAGCCTTTTACGTAACCCTGATTTAGTCACACCAGCATTGGCAGTCCCAAGAACTGCATTTTCTTCCCTGAATCATTCCATTACCCTTTCTCTTTCTTCTCTTAAAACATATGTCTTTGATTAAACTCTTAGATATCAACCTTATGTATTGTGGGAGGTGGGGACTTAGCAGTATCATCACTGGACTAGTAACGCAGGGTAACGTTCTGGGGTTATGCGTTCAAATCCCACCATGGCAATTCAGTTTGAATTCAGTTAAGAAAAAATCTGGAATTAAAAGCTAGCCTAATGGTGACCATGTAACCACTGTTGTTGGCTGGGTAAAAACTGGTTCACTGAAGTCCTTTTAGAAAAGTAAATCTGGCCTGCATACGTTTAGACCCACAGGAATGTGGTTGATTCTTATCTCTTGACTCTGGGCAATTTGAGATGGGTAACAAATGCCAGTCTAGCCACATCCTATAAACGTCCCACGGATGACTTTTCTTTTATATAACGTATGAACACCCTATATGTTTTTAGGTTAATCCCTTCCCAGGCTTGCCTTATGTGAAATGAATGCTACTGCCTTAATTCTTTTCCTTTCTTTAGCCTCCCCCACCACAAAAGAAATACTCTTGTTCATTCTGCATTATTGGGCCCAATTTAAACTTTAAATAAATTTATTAAAAGCAGGCCTCTTAAAGTCAAAATTGGTTTTATAAAGCCTGTTTGCTGACTTTAAAATATTTTTTCTTGAATTCTACATTAGATTTTTTTGTCTTTTTAAGTGCACAGATTTTAGTATCTATACCTTGTATATTACAGCAACTGCTAAATATGAGGCAGCCAGTACAAAAGTGAATTGTAGTTGTGCTCTTGGTAAACATTAACCAAGAAGTAAGATTTCCCCTTTTGACATTATCTACAGAAGCTTTTTATAAAATTGTAATTCCAAGCTTTCTAAAAATTTGTATTTTGTATTGCACAGGAAAACGGATACCTTTTGAACCAACACAGTGTGTAGTTTAGTTAACCTCAGTAGAAATTCACATTGAGAAACTGAATTTGGATGATCAACAAAATAAAGCTGGAGCTTTGTAAATTCATAACACAATAAATAAGGGAAATCAAATTTAAAATCTCACGAGGAAGTGCAAAGTTATTTGTTTATTAATATAAACATAACTATTTTAGCAAACATCACTTCATGATTGTCTCAATATTTTAAAATTCATTTCCTGTTTGATTTAACTTCAAACTCAAAAGGTTCACATAGTAAACTAAACTCCAGATAATTTTCTGTCAACTGCTGGAACTAAAAATAACATTATCTTTTCATCCATTGACAGTGTACCTAGCAATAGAGCTTATACTAACCAAGCAAAGCCCCTGCACTCATTAGTGGAATTGCAGAAGATCATAGCCTTCTTCTTTCCCTTGGAATAGTTATCATAGATTTCAGTAGGTTGTATTGCAAATCAGCAATTTTCCTATCTCCTTCACTGGAGGGAGAAAGAGAAAATAAGTAAATACTATGGTGAAGTTATCAGTGAGGGAAAATGTGAAGAAAAAAGTAAGGAGGAAAAGAAAAAAAATTTGGGAAGACAGGTAAAGAGAAATTTATCACTATTACTTTGTACCCCTGGAGCCATGTGACTAATGCACTTTACCATTCTTAACTAAATTTATGGTTTTAGTCCAATGCAGACCCACAGCTGAATACCTAACACCACTTAGTCAGATCCCTATAAAGTATTTGGTCTTGGTAGCATTAGTTTAGGGCCTTAACCTTTGTATGGAATTGTAATTCCAGTTTTCACATTGAATAGCAATAGCCAATCATGTTAATAAATTAATATTTGATTATATATACAATATTCCAATAACATATGTTTTGTTATGTCAAGGGCATCCATTTTCATTCTTTACTAGCTTAATTATTGTAATTATTTATTTTGGTTGTATGGGCAGGATTATCTTTAAATTGAAAGAAACACCCTGTCATGTGACTTGTGAACCACAGGGGTTATCACGGTATAATGCTTGTAAAGTTTGTGTTAAATTCGGAGTAAAACCTAAATTCAAATGCCGAACTACAAATGTAATAGTATCTGCATTATTATCAAAGTTGCGAGCAATTTAGCAATAGGGTAACTAAGATCAGAGAGCTAAATGCATGGCGCCAAGATTATTGTGGGAGAAATGGGTTTCAAGTAATGGAAAGTGTTTCAGAGATAGTAGGAACTAAAGATGCTGGAGAATCTGAGATAACAAGG